ATTTTTAAACTGCCAGACCCGGGGCTTGAACTACTGCGGACCATGTGGGAGTCCAGTGCCTTCACCACCATACCACCTGCTGCCCCCTACTGGCTCCATGCCCCAAAGGGGAAGGTCTCTCCTGGAGGGGAGACTCGCCCACCTTTATTCTCAGTTCCCCACCCCAGGCGTGGCTCGGGGGAGCCTCTATGAGACCCCCTCCATTCATGAAACACAACCGAGTCACTTCCATGGGCCTGACAGATGCCTATCCTGCCCTGGTGGCTGAATGGCCACTGGGCTGCGGACAGTCACTGAGACCTGGTGCCCTGGGAAGGGCCCCTGAGGAGGCTGGGCCAGCCCTATTGGGTGCCAGAGGCGCGTGGGGATCAGGGGCTTGGCCAGCAGCAGCCCTGCCCTGGGACCTCTCTCCCCTGTGCAGTCCTGATGTCATTCCCCAAGTCCTGCATGTGCCCCTGACTGCACGCAGTCTCTCCTCGCCCCACTCCTCCTGGGGCAGGGCTGTCATCATCCTGGCCCATCTAAGTCTGGCACAGGCCATAGGGCAGAGCCAGGCCCTCCATGGTGCCCAGCGTTGTCCCTCCATGTCTGGGTCCACTTCCCTGTCTGCTGTACAGGGTGCCCAAGGGGCTTTCGGAGTCAACTTTGGGGAGCGCCAGGCTTGACCAGCAGGGGTCAGACGTGGTCCTGGGAGCAGACGGTGCCTAGGAGGCTGGAAGGGGAGGGCAGCTGTCAGTGGGGAGTGGCAGAGCAGGGAGCTGTCCCCACTGTGGCCCCTGAGTCTGGGTTAGGGCCTGTGTCCCCACCTCCCTGAGCCTCAGTTTTTCTGAAAAATGGGGCCTCCAATCCCTGTGGGCAGCCTCTCCCATCAGAACAAGCCCTGGGGGTATCAGGGTTCCCTCAGTGACCAAGGTCCTGTGCCAGCTCCACAGGCCAGGGAGAGTGGAATGAGGTTTGGGTCCTGAGGGAGAGGACGAGAACGTGGTGATGGCACCGGACTGGCACATTTGGGGTTGGGGTGGCTCTGGGATGTGCGAGTGGGCCCTGGTCTCCCGCGTCTGTCACAGAGGGCATGGCCCTTCCCTGTATAGTTGCTCACCCCCAGCCTTTTTGCTGGGCCCAGAGGGCCCCGTACCCCGTACGTGGGTGGAGGGCCTGCTGGCAGGGGCGGCAGGAGCACCAGTGTCGCGAGCGCCATCCCATGGAGCCTCGAGCTCGGGAGGCCCATCCGTTGCCTGTGCATCCAGGGAAGCCGATCCGGGGTTTCGACACCTATCTCTGCGGTAAAACTTGCGCCCCGCGTGGCCTGGGCTTCGGTTCCCCCAGCAGACCGCACGAAACACCTTTGGCTGACTCATCCCTCCGCCCCCGGCCCTGCTCTGTCTCCTTCCTGTCTCTGCATCCAACCTCTGGCGTTGCTTTGCCCGCTCTGCATGTCACCAGCCCAGACACGGGCAGTGGCACCTCCTGAGTCTCCACCTCACTCTTGGCACCAGGCCGTTGGGTGTGGACAAAGTTTACAAATCTGGGCCTCAGCCCAGCAGAGGTTACAGCTAATTCCTTAACAGTGACTAGAGTTGGGTGTTTTGTTTTTTATCCCCCAGATTTTAGGTGTTAGCCATACAGTGAGTGCACTCACCAGGGAGGCAGAGAGAGGGAAAGTGAGAAATCACCCCTAGAGGGGATGGCCACGGTGCAGTCCCTTCTCCTCCCTGCTGCTCCTGAGATACTGGGCATACATGGCTGGCATGATATTTAAGCCACCAGCACCTTAACCACCATGCCACCTGCTGGTCCCAAGAAGAGGTGTTTCTAGAGGGGTGAGAAGCCACCAGGGAACTGGCTAGGTGCCAGCAAGGGACAGGGAGAAATCGCAGCTTGTGGCTCCCACTCTCCGCCGGGAAAAACGGGATGGAGGGAAGGCGCCCAGCTGGTCAGGAGGCTAAGGAGGAGCGCCGTGTATCTCCAGGCCGGTGCCATGGGGCGTGGTCCTGTCTGGGAGCGAGGGGAAACTCCTGCCCTCGTGGTCCCCTCCCCCTGCTGCTGGTTTCCACAGGCAACTCGGAGTTCTCACAATCATAGTCTCTTCCAAATGATTCAGGGCTGCTTGCGTACGTGCACTATCACCAGAGACACAGAGAGAGGGGGCGGGTCAGGAAGCACTCCTCCCTCCCCCCAGGGACCAGCAGATGACATGATGGTTTCATTGCTGGACTCCCATGTAGTCGACCATGGTTTGAGTCCTGGACCCAGCAGCTTAAAACTCACACCAGGCACATGTGTGTGCATGCCGTTGCGGGAACACCGTAGGGAGGGCTCCTGGGGGGAACTTCGCTCACCCAGGAGAATGGAGGAGAAGGGATCGCGGTGTGGACATTCCCCTTGGGGGTGATTTCTTGCTTTCTGTGTCTGTCTCTCCAGAGAGTGCACATGCCCTATAGCAAAAATCTCTCAGGGAAAATAAAAAAGAAAGCACCATCCCATGGGGGACGGCTATGCTGCAGTCCCTTCCCCTCCACTTCTCCCTCCTTTTGAGGTTTTGGGCGCGCTCGCATACATGCCTGGTATATTTCTCAAGTTGTTGGATCTGGAACTCAAACTGCGTAGTCAGCCATGTGAGATCCCGCCGCCCCAACCACCACACCACCAGCTGGCCCTAAACAAAAATTTTTTTACAACTATGAGGTAGGAAACTCTTGTCCAGCCAACTTGTCTGATCTAGTTTGAGATCTGAAAAATACAGCGTCCTGTACGCATGAGGGCACAACGGGCAAGTGTCCGGCTGCGTTCCAGTCTTGGCTGTTTCTAAGGCACCTACGTGAGCATGGGTGGCTATGAGCCTTACAATCCCCTAGGGCGTAGGCATTCCACTCCTGCCTTACTGATGAGAAAATGAGGCCCTCTCCAGCCCCACGCAGCACACCTTCCACACCTAGGTCTGTGGTCACCTTTCCATGGTAAGGCCTGTGCTGCCTGCTCTCCCACCCCGACCCCAGCTCCTCTGTCCTCTCCCGAAGGCCCGCCCCCAGCCCCTGGCCCTGCCCCTGGCCCACCCTTGCCAGGGCAGGCAGCTTGGGGACGTTGACTGTGTCAAGGAGGAGGGAGCACCTGGCCCTTCTTTGTCGGTCAGCATACAGGGGTCACGTGGGTCTCAGCCTTAGTGTGACAGGCTGTGGGTGACCTGGGGGACGGGGAGTCCGTTTATGGCTCTGCTCCCCTATCTATGTCTGGAATGCAGTAGGTGCTCAGGAACCGCAGGTTGGTTGGCCCGAAGAGGTCTTCCCCTACATGTCATATGGGCTCTCCCAGCTGCTGGGGCTGAGGCAGCATCCCGTCTGTGGAGGACAGATGCTGGGGGTGGAGACGGCACTGAACCAGGCCCTGTTAGCCGCTTTGCCAAATGCTGACTGCAGGTTCTTTCACCCCGTGAGCCTCAGTCCTCAGCTGGGAAATGGGGAGAAAACAGAAGCATCCCTGCCTCATAGAGGGCCATTAGTACAGGAAAGCATCTCACCGTGCACTGTAAAGCATACTGGAAGCCCCAAGGCTACGCCCTCCCCTCAGAGGTCCCTCTGCCTCAGCCGTGGACTTAGGAGACCCCACTGGCTTGTCCCATTCAAGAGAAGGGGACAGGGGTGGAGATGGATAGATACAGCTTGGTTGGTCTCTGCCCTGGGAGGCACACCCTCTACTCCTTCAACACTCCAGTCTGGCACCTCCTCCACGCAGCTGGTCAAGACTGATGTCCAGTGCCAGAGGGGGCATTCTAGGGTCGCCAGTCTGGCGCCAGGTGGGCCAATGCAATGGGCTCCTGGCCCCAGGTGTCGAGAGGGGCTGAAGACCTATATCCAAGGTCTTTGTGAGGACTGCGGAACCTGTGCCCAAATGAAGGGGTCTTGACGGGTCCCAGTGGTCACAGCCTCTGAGGGAGGGTTATCAAGAAGGAGATGACTTGGCCTGAGGCCTTGATGGGGTCTTCTGGGGACGGGGTCTCGGGGCATCAGACGGTGTGGCAGCAGTGTTGTGCGCGGGGCAGGCGCCTGGAGTTGGGCTGTGTGTTGGTTTCCCGCGAGCACGTGTCCTCGGAAGAGGAAAGGAAGCTGAGTGCGACTCCAGGAGAGTGGTCAGAGTTCAGGCAGCTGCGACCGCGTGAGTCGCCGGCCCGCCCCCGGCCCGTGGCCCCGCCCC